GGTTAGCTTTCAGCAATACTTATTATGCAAAAGAAATAGCAGTACTTAATGTTTGTCTACTGTATGTGTGGAGAGAGAAAGGGGAGTGCAACTAACTTACTTATTTTGCTGTGTGATGTACCAGCAGCCATGCGATTGCTTACTCTCTCCCTGCACCATCAGGTCAGTTATGCAGAGAGCAGTTGGCGTTACGTTTTTTTGTTTTTCCCCTGAGTATTGCCAAATGCAGACTTTTTTTTCCTTAAAAATATGGTGAAGTGACTCGCCATACAAACAATAAATTAGGAATTCAATTTTCTAACTATTCATGTCTTAAAATTTCCTCATTGCTCTGAAACTTGTGCCCTATTCCACAAAATATGGCCTGCTTAGTGTAAGAGTCAGCCATTCGCAGTTTTGAAAAATGAGGAATCATAGAGTGTTACTCGGAGAAGTTGATCAGATATGATCAATAGTTGAGTGGGATTTTAACTGCCAGGTCCTGGGAATTTTAACAAAATTGCCAAGATCCGGGAATTTGAAAAAAAACTGTAAGCTGTCCCAGGTAAGATGATGGGGAAATCCACTTCCGGTGTGGTTCTTATTGTCCGTCTGTTTGTCCCAACATGTGCTGGGTGGCATCGGTGGCCTAGTGGTTAGGCTGCTGGACTCGCAATCGTGAGAGTGCGGGTTCGGGGGTTTGAACCTCAGTTCGGTCCAACGTTTTGTTCTTGGGAAAGACACCTTGCATGATTTTCCCCTCTTGGCTTGGTATTTTCAGAGATGGACATTAAACTCGGAGGTCCCGCCTCCTAAAATAACTGAACAGTGTAGAGGGGGCCGTTAAATGTATACCATTTCATCATATCTTTTTTCGTAGATGAATGTTAAATTCGGAGATCCAGTCTCTAAAATAACCTATCAATGTTGATATTGGCGTTAAACCTGTACCATTTCAACATATATTTTTTCGGAGATGGACGTTACACTCTGAGGTCCTGCCTCTAAAATAACCTAACAGTGTTGATAAGGTCGTTAAACCCATACCATTTCAACATATTTTTTTTCGGAGATGGACGTTAAACTTGGAGGTCCCGCCTTTGAAATTACCTAAGTGGTGATAGTGGTCAAACCTATACCATTTCAACATTTTTTTTTTCCCCGGGGATGGATGTTAAACTCTGAGGTCCTCGCCTCTGGACGTTAAACTCTGAGGTCCCACTTTTGAAATAACCTATTAGCGTCGATATAGTGGCGTTAAACCTGTACCATTTCACCACTTTGACAGGTGCTGGACGTTAAACTCTGAGGTCCTGCCTCTAAAATAACTTAACAGCGTTGATATAGTGGCATTAAACCTGTACCATTTCACCACTTTGACAGGTGCTGGAGAACACGTGTCTGCCCATCATGAACAAGCCCAAGCCAAAAGTGGACCCGCCCAAGGAGGAGAAGAAGGAGGCGGCGGCTAACCCCGAGGCCGACCAGAACAACAGCGAGAAGTCACAGCCGGCTGCCGACGGGACCAAAGACCCCGAGCAGGAGATGGATATAGACTAACCGCTAGCGCTGGCTAGTTTGGGGGGTAACGGGGGTGGTACTTGCAGTCACCTACTAGCTAAATTATTGAGCTGTTTTATTTTGAGTCGTGAGTTACATGTTCTTCGTTACAATTTTTTTTCCTTCCCGATAGTTTAAGGGTATATTGTTGTGTTTAGTGAAGATTAGTTGCTGGGTTTTTTTCATGTATGATGCCTAGAATGCGAACATTCTGATGTTTTTCACTGTGGTTTTGTTGCTGGTGATATATTCCAGCTGGGGTGGGTTGTCCTCATGAAAAGCTGAACGTAATAACAGAATGTTGTGGGTGGGTCTTCGGAATGGCGTATGACCTTAAAATCTGCGCGACAATTTCTTCTTAGATGAGAAAAATTCTTATGTTAAAAAATAACTGTTATTGATGAGTAAGTCATTTCAACTATGTCTATGTTCTTCTTTATTATGTTGCTTTTTGTGAGTAACATTTTCCGTAGTAAATCATTGCTTCGCCAGGGTTATTTTGTAGGTACACCTATTTCAAGCAGCGGCAATCATTTTGAGTAACTTCCAATGTAGGTTTCAGCTGATAATACGTTTCATTACTTTTTTTTAATGCATGCATGCGTACATGGTCGCACGGTGAGATTATTGTGGTTCTGTAGTCTCCGACAAGCTTGGCCATGATGAGGCTGGTGTGGGCAGACCTTTCTGCTCACGAAGAGCCACTTTCATTTGTGAAATGATTTTGATGTTGTTGTTTTCAGTTTTGCCATAAATGTGATTTTTGTTTGTGTTTGCAGTCAGGGCTAGGGTTGGAACAAGAGGGGCAGGATCTGCCTTAGGAATGATTAGGCACACAATTTTGATGTTTCACAAAAACGATCCGTTTGTTTTTTAGTTTTCCCTGAGAGGTAAAAAAGAAACGAGTTGGTCAGAGCTTCATGAGATATTGTGTGCGAGAAACAGTTTTAGGGTCTTTAGTGCCCCCCTTGTTGAGATTTTACAAGTTGTTATTCATATTCACTTATTTGTTTGAGCCGGACTTGTGTTTTGTGTGATGTTTCAAGTACAGTATGTGACATCAGTACGTCGTGTTGATCTGTATTTTACAATATTTAAAAGTTACTACTAACTGTTAGCGGCTGCCAGGGTTTGGACATTGTATTGGCTTGGAAGGGCAGGGAATCATAATCTCATGGCAGAAGGGTTATTTATCCATGATAGCAAACAAAGTAGTGTGATGATGCAGTTATTTCATATATAGGGAAAATGCTATACCCCAAGTTGTGTCCTTTGGCTTCTCACTCTGCACTCACGAGGGACCTGCCCTCCTCTCCACTGGGAAACGGGGGGGAAATGTGGGTTCTTGAACCAAGTTTCTACTCCCGATGATACAACCATGCCTCGCATGAAATTGTGTCAAGTTTTGAATGGGAATATGGTATTTATTCTGTTTCCCCCCTCTCCTTTTGTGGTCCTCTAAAAATCTTGGCTAACTGAACTTTTTGATAGATGGGTGTCTTTATGTGTTTTTTCCAAGAGGTAATTGCGACTAGAACCTGCCATGTAATTGTTGGGGGGTTTTTTGTTTTGTTTTTTTCCTGCTTTTGTGTTGTTTGTTTGCATGGGATGCTTCGGGTGGGGCACGGTACTTGGCTCATGTTGATGCCGGGTTCGCTGTCTTCTTTTGAGTCACATTGATTGTCAGTACCAGTCTTTTCTGTGAGTGCTGGAGTTCTTTGCTCCATTTTTTTTTTTTTCTTAGACTGGTTCATGAATCCATCATCTCATACTTTTTGTAGTAATAAATCTCCTTGCAAGCAAATCTTATATTATGGTCATGAGTAGAAATTCTTTTGCTTTATTCAACTGTTTTATACTGACCTTTGGACAAATTGCTCTCTGTGGTATTTTTACTCGATGAACTGTGGAGAAAAGGTGTTTTCAGTTGGGTTTTAGATTCACGCGTTTGTTATTTCTTGTACACTTCACCAGTAAACCCTGGCTGCAGTGTCTGGCCTCTGGTGTTTATTCCGCATCTATTACTGTCACGTTTCTGTTTGTCTTGTCTGTCCTTCTTGTTTTATGCAAGAAAAATTCTGAAATTATGCAAACTGAGCCGAAAAATGTGAAATTATGCGATTCTGTTGATTTTAACAAAGAATGATAAAGGAAAATAATCAGAAATTTTGCAAAACATGAATCAAATTTTGGTAAATTATGCGGGGTGCATTTAAAAAAAGGGGACAGTCTTGTGTCCACCTTCACCACTATCTTCTGCCCTACATTTACTCGTTGTCTCGTATCTCCACCTCGCTGTACGCGTCTTTTGCTTGCCTCTGGTTTCTCTGTCTATCGTTGACGACATCTTGTATTTTGACCTCTCTTAGTCACATCACTATCCGGTCTAGTACTTCTTACCTCCTTCATCATGTCTTGCTGTCTTACTTTTGTGTGCTGTGTCTCTCCTCCTGCCTTGTATTTTTATATTTGTTTCCCTCTCTCTCTCTCTCGCTCACTGGGGGGGTGGGGGGGTCTTGTGTGATGTGGGGCAAGAGTCCAGCCCCAGTCTCCACTGCTGTCTTCCCTCGTTCTGGGCATTCGGGTTGAGTTATGTTATTTTTAGCGTGGCCAGTGACTCGTAAGGTGTTCTCTGTTGACTTTTTAGCCTGGTCCAAGGTGGTGTAAACTTAACATAATCATTTCTAAAAATAGCTCACTATTTTTTTCCTCTTTTCACTCTCATATCTCTGTCAATGTGGTAACAACAGAGACAGACTGGAGGAAACTGGTGAAGTTCCTTGTGCATTTGTTTGGGTTTGGGGGGGGGGGAGAGAGAGAGAGAGAGAGAGAGAGAGAGAGAAAGTGGGGGGGGGGGGGGGTAAAAGAAGCGTAATCAGAATAGTTCCCTTTTCCTGTTTAGAAAGTTTGAGGATCTTATTTTTTAAAATAAGGTCTAGTGTCAACTGACAGCATCCCTTTGGATCAGTGTGAATTTTCCTGTTTTAGCTTTTGTACTGCAGTTGTATTATTATTACAGTTGGTTGAAATGAATTCAAATTCGAAGAGAACAAAAAAAAATATGTGTCTTTGATAGTTTTGTCATCCATGGTTATGTTTTTGCTTTCAAGAAGATTTTTTTTCTAATTTCAAAAGTATTGTGCTGATAGTTCTGCTCTGCCTGAAAGAATTGTCTTCTGCGTTGTTTCTGTTCTCTAAGTGACTCGTGTTTTGCGTTATCCACTGACTTGTTGCATTCATTTAAAAAAAAAAATTTTCATTTGAAAAGTGTAGACCGTACCTTGCTTGGTTCTAATGGTCTTGACAAGTTTGAGCGACTTTTTTTTACGGACATCGACTTTGTTTTTCTAGCCTGTTTGCATTTCATGATTAAAATCAGGACACAGCAAAAAAATAAAAAAAGCTATCGAAAATGTTTCTGGTCTTGTTTTATTTTAGAAGTTAGATACAAATTTCTATATTTTTCTGGGACTTTGCCAGCAGTCTGACTGGTAAGTTCTGCGTCTTCACTATTTCTATGTTGCTTCTGTCTGTTTTGCTTTTTCATTATCATTCAGTTTCTGTTGTGCCAGTATGCTGTTCTTTCGCTTGCAAAAAAATACACGAGTAGTTGGAGTGTGCCCTGGTGTGGTTTGCTGCTTCTTTTCTGTTAAACATCAATCGTCATAATCTCTCCTCCATATTTTTGTGTGTTTGTTACCCTCTTATAACACCTCTAATCTTCTGCACTTTTATGTCCTTGTGTTGCAAGTGTTTTCAAAATCCATACTAAAACTATCGCATACCAGTACCAGAGTTTTCTGGAAAAGTGGAGTTAGAGCGTTGAAAGTTTTCACACTTTGGCGCCTCATTTCGCCGATATTTCCCACTGTTTCTTTGGTTTTTCCCCAAAATGCCTTTGCCTTTGATGGCAAAAACTTTATCTTCGATATTCTCAAAACAACATTTTTCAGGATAGCAAAGTGTTAAAAACAAAAACTTCAATTTGACCCTTCTCAAGTAGCTTGTTCAAACACGCATTAGTTTCTCAAAGCTGCACATTTTGTGTTCTCATATAGTGTTTTATTTTTAAGAGCCTACAAAGTGTAAAAATAAATGCAGGGTGTGTGTGTCAATTGGTCGCTTTTAAAGACAAGCGGGCCAACCCAGATTTCGAGAGTTCCAGAAATCTTTACCTACACCAGAGAAGTGGGTATTGCCCTACACTATAGAAGAAGTTTGGTTTCATTGGTGTGTATATTTGCTTGGTTACAGAGAAAACTCTCCTGTCTTTTAAAGAAACTGAACAAGGGGCAAAAACTTTATCTTTGATTTTCTCAAAACAGCATTTTTCAGGATAGCCCCTTTGTACTTAAAAGCGACCAATTGTGCTTTTCTTACTAGACCAATGGCTGCACCATAGTTGTTACTGTTACCCTTTCTTACCAGTAGAACAAAGTAAAGCTGATGATTTGCTGTTGTTCAGCATTGAATGCCAAGGTAGAGTCCATCAAAGAGAGACAACGGTTTTGGTCCACAATGTTATTCTTATTGTTAAGAGGTGCGAGTGCAGAGCTTATTATTTTGTAAAAAATTCAGAACTAGATTAGATAAATCTGTCTCTGCGGTTTTATGCAAAAAAAAAAAATGAAATAATGCAAACCTCAGCCCAAAAATGTGAAAACATACCATCCTGTTAATTTCTAGAAAGAATGATAAAGGAAAATAATCTAAAATTATGCAAAAAATGATAAAATTTTGCTAAATTATGTAAAAGTCAAGTAAAGTAAACATAAAACCACGGGACCGAAAATATTTGGAATATTTTTTACTGACACTCGCGTAAATGGAAGTTTTACAAGGTGTGGGCTCTCATATAAAGACTGGAGCACAACGAAAGCAAGTTAAACATACTAAAAGTCCACGGTTCAGATAAAAGATTTTTTTTAAACTTCAGCAATACTGCAGATCAGCTGTTTACTTATATACCCGCACCACGGACCACAACAATGTCACCAACAACAGTCTCCTCCTTGCTCCATTCTTCTCTCTTCAAATAAATTCAACAAGAGGACACAAGATTGCATGGTAACAACGCACTTTATTTACAAGCGTTTTTTAATACAAGTCGTATTTTTATTCTCAATCCCAAATTCAAATACATGAAATGCGAGGGTTTGCAGATGGAAACACTTGACTCAAGTACATTACTACAACAAGTGCACACACTGTCAGATTCTGATAGGACATTCATGCATTCAGACTAATCAGACAGTCACCAGACTTACAAAAAAACCCAACAACAACAACCCATTATTCTTTTACTAAAAAAACACACAATAAAAACCGAACTTCTGCAAGGTTCTAAAATGCTTTCTGGTCAGTTGAGACTATTCTTCCCCTACAACGCAACCAATATCATAAGAAAGAGAGTCTTTGGCTTTGCATGCACAACAATTACTGAACTTGCTGAATCAAACTACACCAGTAATATCAGAGCTAGTGGTGATAGGCAAAGACAAACTAAAAAAAACAACAACTGCTCATTGTCTAATCTAACTAAACAAAAGGTTGTGAATCATGTGTCCATGGGTAGATGGAAGCCTACACTAGAACTAAAGGCAAAAGGAATGTGCAACCAACCCAGATCTCAGAGAACTGGAAGAAGAGAATCTCGGCATCAGCTGTTTAGCCTCTCCCACAGAAAGCCAACTTTTCCACAGCAAGTGAGTCTACTACCATTGACATGACTGAGATATTGCTCTATTCGACTTAAGTATTACATGTGGAGAGCTGATGCCATAAAAGTATGAAACTTCACAGTTCACAGAAACAAAGAATGCTGAGGTCTGGTTTGTAACATACAATGAGAGCATTCCTTGGTCACAAAATATGAAGAAAAAAAATGAATGTGAATGTCCTCTTCACTTCCCATGTCCAGGATCGTTCCATTCCCCTCTCTTTAGCAGAATAACTAATACATGCAGTAACTTAATATTACAATTACTACATGTCCACAAAAATGTATGTGTTTTGTAAACTAGAAAAAAAGAACAAAAAATGGAACTAAAGATTCAAGCAGACTGAGGAGAAAGAGAAAAATATACAGTTTAAAAATTCAAAAATCAACATCCAGAGCTATCTAAGGTCAAGAAGATTTGAAACTTAATGCCAGCCGGGAATAAAACCCTCATCTCAGCAGGAACAAATAGCATAGGGATTATACAGAAATACTGCAGTAACAGTGACAAAATAGTTGTACATTTAGAGCGAGAAGCTCACGGCGGAGCTGAAATGGTCGTCTCGACAGTTCAGTAAAAGTGCAAGACTCCGTCATATGTCAGTTTTCAAAATAGCATGGCGGAGTTTTGCACTAAGCAGATTGATCTATTCTAATCTTTTTAGTCTAGTTTTAGTAAGTGTTTTACGGCACTTGCAACACAATAAGGTCATCATATAAGTGCCGAAGATTAGAGGGGTTACAAGAGAGTAACAAACACAAAAAAGAAGGAGGGGAGATAAAGGCGACAGATGTTTGATAGGAAAGAAGAAGCAAACCACAGTTGAGCACCAACCAACCGCCCACATTCTTATCTTTAAGCTAAACAACAGAACAATGAAACCAACGCCTCGATTTTACTAAGTGAAACATGTGAGATGGGAAACAGAAGCAGCGCTGAGGTGATGGGATGAGTAATAGATACACAAGGACCCTGCAATAACGTATGTCATTAGTGCCCACAAATACAGAAGTACAACTGCTTCTCATCATCTCACAGAAGTACGATGAGAAGAAAAAAAATGTCGACATGCACATCTACAATTCATCCACCTGCTCTCAAACTCATTCTAAAGTGATCATGTGTTGTCAGGAAATCTCTAAACATTTTGTAACTTAATTTTTAAAAAAATAAATTCAGCAAGAGTTTTACGGCAATTGCAACACAAATAGGTCATGCAAGAGGCAAAGATTTAATTAGATGTGTCACTCCAAAGAGAGTAACATAGATCTACATAGAAAAAGAACAGGAGAGATTTCAGTGATAGATGTTTTAATGGGAAAGTTCTAGAAAGAGCAAATCACACCAGAGCACCTGCCAACCACTCACACTTGCAACTTTACTCTGGCACTCCTTTAACACCCCCCCCCCATGTAGACTACTGCCCAAACCTCAAAGTTTTCCCACTACCACTTCAAACTCCTTGAAGAAAGGCATTCTGTTCACTCAACAAAACTTGAAGACTTGCTGCTTTGGGGGGGGGGGGGTCTTTGGTAACGGAACAGAACTTCATTATTAATTAATGCCGGTTTATATGCTGTTTGTTTTTTCTGCAGTTTTCTTTTTCTAAAACTTAAGAAGGAAGACAACAACATGCATACTACTACCATGAAATCTACAAATTCTTGCTTCTGATTTTTTTTGTACGATAGTTCGAAATATGCCCCAATACTGTCTTTGGTCTGATTCTAATCAGGTGTGTCCACCACATTCTCAATGAGTCAAGTTTCAGGGCAAACTGAACATTAAATTACATGTGAAAAGTCACTGTACTACGTTACGTACACATTGGGCAACAGCCTGTCTCCCTGCCAGACCACAGCAGTATCTATTTGGAGACGGCTCCAACGGAAATTGACCAATCAAAATGCTTTGTGCCTCTAGACAAAGTAAAAAAATCTGGGGGGTTACAGGGGGGGCTTGCCCCTGTTTTAACCCATAATTTGATATTTTGTACCTAAGTTTGAAATTTTCTTGAAAATAATAGAATTGTGAATGTTTTTGTGGCTATATGTGTGATCTGCAGCAAATAATACGCAGTTTGACTCCCCCCCCCCCCCAAGCAGTGCATCTGCCCAAAGCGGTGCGTCTCTGAATAGTTCATGGGTACTCGCCGGATACGTCTCCGAATAGTGTCTGCCCCAGACCACAGTGGCTCTCTCACTCTCAACAGAAAAAAATTATGGGTAGAAATTCAATTTTTTTATCAATGGGTAGACACTCAATTTTTTTTTCCTTCATAAAACATACCTAGTACAAAATGCAACATGACACTGTACATGAGTGCACATTTGGAATGACATGAATTTGAAACAAACACCAACGCATCACTTCATTTGTGTACATGGTGGTCTCTGAACGAGAAAGGACCCACTCGTTTCAGACAACAAATATGTACATAGAAATCCTCAGGGAGGAAAACATCAAAGTATTCAACAAGCAACACATTCTAACATAAAGAGAGCAAATGTCATAGGAGTTATAATGAGAGAAGGTGCCCGAATTCCCTCTTAACAGCAATCTCTATGCACATTGCAACCTCAATAATTACTATTATAATACCATTATTACCCCACTATTATTACCCCAGAAGACGTGAAAGCATCCCGAAACAATCTCAACTTCCTGGGAAGTGTTAAGAAAAACGTTGATGACCCATTATTCATTAAGAATAAAGGTAAGTTTTAATTTTAAGTTTCACCAAGAGTTTTAAAGCACCTGCGACACAAATCGATCCTGCAAGAGCTGAAGATTAGAGGTGTTACCGTTACTATTTCTAGAGAGTAACATACCAAGAAAAATGTATAAAAAAAAAAAAAGAAAAAAGAGGACAGATAATTGATAGAAATGAAGGAACAAACCATACTAAAGCCTAAAGCCCCCACCAACCACCCGCTAAAAAATTAATTTTTCAGAGCATTACTTAGAGAAAATGAGAGGAAGACAACTGTACAGGCCTAGTGACTGCACACAACACAACGACCACAGAAAAAAATGGCATCAACATTACAGTGTGCAACATAATTCCTTTTGGGAACTCAATTTAAATACTTGTTGCAATATTATATTATGTGACAGTTTGAAAATCATCAGAGTTCGGTGGAAAACCTACCATTAACACTTGATGTTATCTCAAACGAGAGCATCCATCACCACAGCTTATTCCACCTGCAAATAGCAGAACAGACCCCTACACCTTCCTAGATTATACTGCAGTAAAACACACCCTGCCACCTTGTTTGATTCCAAAAGTATTGACAACCATGTCTCTCCTTCTAAGTACAGAGAACACGGATGGCTCGAATTCGTCGGGACCGGCCTCGGTAGTTTGGGGGATCCGTAGTTTGAGGGATATCTTACAAAGATAAAGAGGAAGAAAAAACCGGGACCACAGGCACAGTTCGATGGATGCATGATTTCGAGTCTTCTGTGTTCGACCTATCCGTGTTATACTGTATATCAAGAAAGTCAAGATCTGAAGGGAGGGGGAGTAGTGCTTGTGCAATCTACTTCTCCTATGTCTACCACCCTGGCAAAATTGTATCGTGCATTCTGCTTCAGTCATCATCGATATCAATGGACAGCTGAGGAGGATGACCACAGTTTGAAGTAACCGCCGTAACATAGCTCTTGTAAAACGAGAGACAAATTTTATCGCACCTCCTACTCACCCTACATGACTACATGCTTGTGCAAACACCCTGTTCAAGCAACAAACTACAACCACAATATCATTTTCCATTATTCAAGAATAAATAAATCATTCTACATGAATCAATCAATCCTTCCACAAATATTTTCTTTCTATCTCACAGGAAATTATCACTTTTTTTTTTATCCACTGCGGATCTTTTAAAAAAAAAACTATAACAGTCTGAGTAAACAATTTTTTAAGATGCCCAAATTTTCATAAATTCACATAATATTATTATATTATATATAATCTCAGTTCATACAGATGAGGATTTTTAAAAAAAGACAATAAAAATTCTATATATGTACATCGACTGCATGATAGAACCAGAGAATACCTCACTCTTCCACTACTTCATACACCACAAATAGACCAACAAATTCTGGGGCCCATTTTGTGTTCTTTATTGTCCTGTCACTGGAATGAGATGGGTACGTTCAGGTTGGTCATTTTTTTTTCTTCTTCATAAACCCTTCAGATTACCAAACAACGAACGGGTCCACGTAAAGTGAGACTGGTTTCCCCATTATCAAATCCGGGACAGTCCCGGGAATATTCGGGACAGTTGTTTGCAACTGATGCGTGCTGCTCTGTGCAAGTTCAGCTGGGACAGTACAGTACCATCTCATCTCATTACATCGTCTCATCATCTCATTTCATCATCTCATACCACGGACAAGGGCAGTGACCACCGGTCAGAGGGATCAGATCTGACATCCCGTCCTTAGCATTGAGGACACCAGTACCCCATAGAAAAACAGAAAACAACTGACGACTCTTAAGGACCAGCCCACTACTTAGAGAACTACCAATTGACAGCAGCCCACAGAGAAGAGAGCTAGAGGTCCATGGGAAGGTTTTCAAGGAGTGGAAACAATCCTCAGAATGTACGACTTGACAAAAAAAAAAAAGAAAGAAAAAAATCCAACAGAGAAAACGAAGGCTCTGTTGGAAGTCTAAATAATTAAGTCAACCAATATTTATAAGAATAATACAAATAAGGCCAAAAAGTGAAATTTCAAACAACTATTGAGTACTTCTCAAGGGTACTGTATGCTGTGTAAATTTCACTACTAGATACTCGTCATGTCTAATTTTTTCTTCTAAGGAAAATCACCCTAAAATTATGTGGCACGACAAAATACTTAATAAAACCTAAGGGAAAACTCCCAAACTTGTGCCGAACTTCTGTCTTACTACTGTTGGTGGTTCAGCAAATCACACAACTGTTGAGCCCTGACAGGCAAAGCAATAATTTACAAACAAATGAAATGCATCTACGACTTGACAATGAAGGAGATAGTTGGTCATCTGTTGGGTCATAATGGTTGAGACAGTTTCAGAAAGAAAAAAAAAAAAAAATTTTTTTAACAAAAACCCCAACCATGGATCAGAAAAACCAGCGATCCAGCCATCATTTGAATCATCATTCTTTAAAACTTCCGATATTTTTTTAATGACTGTGCTGTGACTTCCTCTTAAAACAAGTGAATTAATTAAAGATCTTGCATCACTTTGGCAACAGACGAGCATAAAAGACCATCACTTTCCTCAGTGGGGAAAGAGTGCTGTCTCCTGCTTTCAGATCTCTGTTAGTCTACTATTGCAAAAGTTTTTTTTACGGTGCTCGCAACTGCATAAGGTCAAATGAACTCTCTGCCCGGGTAGCCGCTAAGCCTGAAACCGTTACACACAAATAAGACATTGAAAAAAACCCAACAACCCCACAACAATGATAAACACAAACCAAAAGAACAATCAGCTCTCCAAGCAAAGGACCCACAGACACCCAGTGACCAACTCACAGCGCACAAGTGGCCAACAATTTCACCTATTAGCAGTAATTTCACCAGCAATTTCACCTACTTGCAGTATACAAGAGGGTAACAATTTCACCTTCTGGCAGTATACAAGAAGGTAACAATTTCACCTTCTGGCAGTATACAAGAGGGTAACAATTTCACCTTCTGGCAGTATACAAGAGGGTAACAATTTCACCTTCTGGCAGTATACAAGAAGGTAACAATTTCACCTTCTGGCAGTATACAAGAGGGTAACAATTTCACCTTCTGGCAGTATACAAGAGGGTAACAATTTCACCTTCTGGCAGTATACAAGAGGGTAACAATTTCACCCCCTTGCAGTATACAAGACGGTAACAATTTCACTAACAATTTCACCTACTTGCAGCATACAGATTACAAGTGGCCAACTCACAGTGGACGATTCAAACCTCTCACATTATACACGTGGCCACTGACAGTTTCACTTACTCAACCATCAAACAGTGATATCCAGGATTATCCCAGTCAGTCATCCAATGGCTCAAGTTGTTTGACACACAGCCCAACTTTCTACTGCTCATACACCTATATACCGTAATATACAGCATGAAACATGTTTAACTAAAATGAACAACGAATTCAAATATTTCTACATATCTGAGTGACAAAAGCGTGAAGACTGTTCCCTCAACAATAATGATAAGAAAGTTGAGGGTACCCAAACTGGTATCTGTCGTGGCAGGACGAGGCAACACAGTCGCCAGGGAATGACAAAAAGAGCACTGGTCAATCACTGACCAGCGCACAGGCACACACATATATATTTACACACTAATACACACATGCTGAATGAGACTGAATATCATGTTCTCTTTCTCTCTCACTCCTTGCCCCACTTCGATCCCTCTCCCCTCTCTCTCACCCCCCCTCTCCCTCTCTCCCTTCCCCCCACCCCCCTCTCTCTCTCAGTTCTAACACGACCAAAATTTAGGGGC